GGGGAGTGCTGTCTGAATCCCAGGGTTTTCAAAGCAAAAGACTAGCCACTTCTTAGGACATGTCTACACGGGAAGATTCAACAGTGGAGGTGCTTCTGGCTTTTAAGAGAGTGAATTTAGAGATGTGGTGAACAACTGGCGCTGAATTGATTCTCTCAGTGTTAGAGAGAAGGCGCCCTGCTTGGTGGTTCCATGCAGGCCTCCACCCTCAGTTGTCAGAGAGGGAAGGACCCCAGCCATTTCCTCCTCACTGCAAAACAATTGCTTGTCTGTCCTGGAGCTCAGGATTCAAGTGTATGGGGCTGAGCTGAGTTCTGGACCTGGGCACGCTGCTGGCAGTGTGTTGAACTATTTGCCTAGTGTGAACCCCCAAACTACCATTTATTCCAGTCACTTTAAGACAGAGCACCCCGTGTCGCTAACTGGGCCTTGTGGGACAAGAAAAAGAGAGAATTTATCCCGGTGATTTCAGGAGAAGACAATTGTGCTGTTTTGTGTGCGGCAGTTTCCACCATCTGGTCTGTGAGTTCTGTATTTGGGCCTGATCACCCACGTGGTTGTGCCGCTCCCGACTGCATAGCTGAAGTTGGGTTCTGAAAGCCACCGTGGAGCGGGCAGGAGATGGGCCGGTAGTCCAGGATCTGCGGATACTAATGCAGCCGGAAACCAGGCACGATCGATGGCCTAGACCAGGAGGCTATCAGAGACCGCCAGGCCCCCATCGGCGAACAATGCAAACCCCTGGGACCTGGGGTTCCGGCAGGGCTGGAGCCCTCACCCACGCTCCCCTTCGGGTCCAGGAAAGCAGGAGCAGGTTTTAGGCTCCAGGCCGCGCGGGAAACGGACCCTGGCGCCGCCGAACCTCTCCGCGCCGTAGGCACTGGGAGGCGGGAGGGTTCTAGCGCAATTCAGCTCCAGGTGCCTGGCAGGCCCGGGGTTGCGCGGCGGCTCCTTCCCCGACCCCAAGGTCCGAGCGACCGCTCCTCAGTGCCTGCCTCCATCGCGGCAGAGTCGCCGGTTTTCCGTGGAGCGGCCTGCGGTCGGCGCCCGCCGCAGCCCGGCGCTGCGTCCGCGGTTGCAGCTCTTAGAGACAAAGGCGGACCGGCGGCTGGTGCAGGACGCCGGCGCCCGGGGCCTCTCTCCGACTCACGCCTTGGTGCCCTCCGTACTCCGGCCCCGTGGAGAGGGCTCTGAGACCCTGGCCCTAATCTCCGTCCGCCTGGTCTCCGGCTCCGGTCCACTCGAAGGTCCCGGGGAGAGGAAACCGGCGCGCCCACAGCCCCGGTTGACCCGAAGAGCTCCTCGCCCAGCAGCGGCCGCAGCACAGGTCGCCTCCCGAGGGCTGCCGGGCCCCCGCGAGGGGCGGGATGACCCCTGCTGGCCGGAGCAGTAGAGGCTGCTTGACCGAGACCCGCACCGGCCCAGTCCTTCGTCCCCGCTCCTCCGAGGCCTGGGCGACGCCCCAGAAGTTTGTGGGAGACCTCGAAGAGCAGCGGGGAGGAGGCACTGCCTGGGTGGCCGGAACCACACCTGCCTCCCAAGCGCCTTCCCTCGGCCCGACACGCGGTGTCCCGCTGCGGCGACCGCCCCTTGCGCCAGGTTCTCAGCTCTGCCAGCTCTGCCCAAAGCTCCCCAGGCCTGCGCCGGCAGCTGGGGTCTGGCACTGTAGCCAAGAAATGAAACCAAACACAGCCGGACTGGACCAGCTCCTTGCTGGCCGGCGACTTCTCTTCTTCCAGCCAGAGCGCTTGCAGGGCATTCGCAGACAAGTCTTCATATAGTCAGCTTCCCTGAACGGGAGCTCAGAGCGTCCTTGCTGGCGCAGGTCTGTGCGATGGAACCCACCCGCAGTGCTTGCTGGAAAGCGCGCTGTGAAAGCTGGGTGACCACATGGGAGCGTGGAAAAGATGTTCCCTAAAATACACACCTTGCCAAGTGCCATCATACCAATATATTGAAACCACCTCAAATGCACAGATGCTACGTTACAGGTACATCCTGGGCATGGGGGAGATTTTCTAAATACACACACACACATATACATATATATACACACACACATACTCAGAGACAACTTTTGTCCATGCAAGCGAAAGCAACCTACCAGGAAAAGATTATACATAGCATGTCCATTTGTCGAATGTAAAAATTTATTTACATAAAGGGAAGACTGCATGCGCACACACCCCACACATGGAGTGTTCAGTCCGTTTAAGCTCCAAGTATGTACACACTCAATAGGAGTTATAAAACCAATGCATGGCCAATGCAACCAGATATTAATGTCTACATTTAAAACTGTGTGCAAAATACATGGTATCATTATAACACCCAAAGTGCCTATCTACCCAGTGTATTAAAAAGAAATTCTGTGAATCATGTTTGCGTATACCAAATATAGCGAAAGAACATTCTTGGGCTTCACAGGTTGTATTTATAACACAGCTCTGGCAATCACAGGAACAATAGCAAGAGGATGCTCAGGCCTTGGCAATGACCATCTCCGTGTGCTGAGCTTCTTCTGTTGATCATTTCTGCTTTTTTAAGCCTTCATCTAGGTCTGCACGCATTATTTACAGAAGTGAGGTCTCTTCTCTACTCCCCTGTTGCACCTCTGGTCTGGAGCTGGGGGGCAGGTGTCTATATTTAGACCTAAAACCTGTTTGCAGCAGAGTCCCGGGCATACTCAGGCTTATATGGAATCAGCAGTATATACTTAGATTGTCCCCTGATGCATTCCTGTAGACCTGGTGTACGCGTGTTAGGTTCACTCTGTGTTGCCACTTAGGGAAGAGACGCGGGTACAGGGGTCTGGCTAGGTGTGTAACAGGCGGTTGGATTCCTGGGTGTGTGCTGGACATCCTTGGGATCCCAAAAGCGAAGATTTGCTTAGGTTTTTTATTTGTTTAATGTATTTTCAAATTTCGAGTCTAGAGAGCAGCAAGAAGCAAAGGCTGGATCCTGGCCTCTCCGC